AACTTGTGTTTGGTGCTAATCCTTCCTGGATCGAGTGTCGCTCGATAATATAGATGTCTTTAAAGCTTGGATTTGTAGTGCACCAAGTATTGGAATAGAAGTTTGATGTGAATTATTCCTTGAGATGCCGTTCTTCGATTGTATAGTCAATTGTAAATCTATGCTTCAGATTGAAGAAAATATATGAATATCTTTTCTTATTATTTGTTCATGTACGTATAATGTATCGCAATAGGTAAGTGCTCATCTATCATTTCTTTTAAGTGATTAGCATATTTAAATAGAATGTTTAAGACAGGTATGTTGTCTCAATATAGATTGTTGATGATAACCCATTAACAAATGTTTTGATAATGTATTCTATCTTTCATCTTTTCTTCTATGAGTTTATTATCATTTACAGTATTTTATGATTTCGAATCAATTTAATACTTTTGTGAAACACGATCTAAAATAAGTTTTGAAGTATACGGGTAAAAATTTCATACCATCCTTTCTTTTCCACACAGAGCATGATGGATGCTAGCTAGAGACCTTTATCTGCCATGACAGGTGTTATTGATGTATGATCGCAAACTGTATATCCAAAAACGTCTCTTTATAATGTATGAGCTAATGTCTTATTGCATTTCTAAAGAATTAAAAGGAGGATGAAGAGATGTGTCATTTTAATCGTACAGGGATTTCATTAATAGCTTTGTTTTCATTGTAGGACATATGGTATCAACACAAAATCACATATTTACATGGGTTGGTACCTTCAACTATGATAAAAACCAACAGACATTGTCTAATAATCAGTTTTCTCCTTTATTTTCACAACTGGTAATATTTCTTTTTTTGTATTGTCAACTTCTTTATTTTTTGTTTTCATATACTCGCAATTTTTTTTTCGTTTATTTTTTCTTGATTTTTCTATTTATCCATGCCAGTAAACAACAAATGAAACGTACTTTCAGTTTATCAAACATTCTTTTTTTGTTTTTGGATTTATTTCAAAAAATCCTGTGAATATTTCAAACTGATCTTCAGTTCATCTTCAACACATATCACAACTAAAAGATACAAAAAGTTATTAATACTAGATGGTATTCGAGAGAATCTCGAATACGAAATGCGATGCTAAGCACGAATATTAAATATTTCGGAAGAACGATATTTGACAATAACAAACAATCGAGTCTAGGACCAATGTTAACTAGCGTCTCTGATCGAGTTCTTTACGTTGTACCGAGCTAAAATGTTTCTCTCAATCGTTGTCAATAGAAAATTTTATGTTTCTGGCAAGCAGATCGAATGGCGCTTAAGTTTTGTTACTGTTTGATTTTAATTTTCTCATAAATAAAAACAAAACAAAGTCCTGAAAAATTTGTCATTTTCGAAAGCTACTTCTGTGAAAACCGAACAGGCTCTGGAGAAGAACTCAAAAGAAATTATCGGTTCGACGTTGATACTCGGATCTCGTATTTCAACAACTATTTTCGGATTTTTAGTTCTCGAGATTCTTGTAAGAAATATTGATTCTTAATGGTGCGAATTTTTGCTTGAGATCTCAACGTGACTGAAAAAACAAATAGTTTTCTTTCGGCACATGAAATTGTCTCTAGAAAGCTGAGCTTTGCGGAGGACGTTTTTCTTGCAGCCAAAATATGCCGAAGTGGTTGAGGACAAGAGCAGTTTTGATCATGAAAGAGAGGAGGATTGAGAGATCAAGCCGGTCTCTTTCAAGAAATAATTGCACTATCAAAATACAATGTTTGGAATTGTGGCGCCATTTTATTTGTAATAATTAATGTCCAATATATGTGTGACATTTATAATCAGAAATATTTTCTTCTCGTTTTGCATTCACATGTAACGATATTAACATCAAATTTTTTAGTAGACATTTTCTCAAGAATAATGAATACAAACAATCAGTTAATTAATACATAATTCCTGTCAAACAGGATATCTACAGGTGATATAGATAACATATCTTATAAAAAATCTAAAGCAAATAATTTCTATAACTCCAATAACAACAACAAGTTCGAAACCGATAATCACAAAGAAATTCCAACTGCTATTTTTGTTCATTGTCTGTTAATCGAAATTTTCCTATAACTATTGATGTATCTATCAAGGATAATGATGTTGAATTTTATGTTTCAAATCAACTAGCTACGAAGAATTTTTCTGTATTAACTCGACTGTTAACGCAACTATGGATTCTATTATTGACGAATTTGCGAAAGCAAAAATTCGGTTAATGTTTACAGATGAGGTAAATCAGATCTATGTTTAATTATGCATATTCATTTCTTTTGTTTTTCACTATACAGAATCGTTATCAAATGCAAACATCTAATTAGTGCCATATCTATCGTATGTGAGCAAAAGTTTCATCAACACTAGATAGAAAAATTTGATTCCTTCAGTCGAAAATGCTGATAAACATGAGCATGAGGGTTTTCGTGTTGTTCACACTTCAGTCTTGTATTGGTACAAAACACACACTCATATTAGAGAGATTTTTAGTATTTACTGTGAGCAGTGCATTAGAACAAAACTGATTGATTGCTGACAGAGGATACACTCTATGATTACAGAACTTTCTTCTTACTTATTGAAATGCTTATCAAACGAATAGTTTCGATTATAGAAATGGAATAGATCCGTAGATAGAGATGATGGCTACAAAGGGCATGTTGTTAAATATTTCTACGAGCGGAAGTCAGGTGTAACAATCGACATAAAGTTGCATAGTATTGAAATGTTCGAATAACTTAATGTAATTTTCATTGTAGCAGATTCGTATTCTATTATTACATCGGAAGTAGAATTTCTTTTAAGTGTTACTAATGTGTCAAGAACAAACACCATCTATCCATCAATACTTGATGGTAATGATTGTTCAAGCACTCACTACTCTTCTCATACATTATGATTGAGTGCGATGATCCAAAAAATAGGCATTCCAATGGTTTTGCCATCATCATTCGTATCATAACTTAAAGTACCCTTTACTTGTTTGCCATTCCTTTTCGAGTTAACGTGTCTTATTATTATCTTTATTCCTTTCACTTTATGAGAACAATTTCACATAAGGCACATCACATTTTTCAATCGTTAAAAGTAATAGGAATGTTCGAGATATATCATAATTCATGATTCGCAGTTTCATACCATGTCTTTAAATTGTATTACACTATCATTTTAGCACTACAGGAAGAGACTCCTAATAGTTTTTTACTCATACCACGAAATATAAGGCAATGAAATTCGAGGAAAGTACTACATCTACTACTACATCAAAGAAGATTTCTCAGAATTGTGGTGTTCATTATTCATTTTATTGAGAGGAATTTTGCAGTCAACTAACCATTGATTGAGTATTGATTTCGACTTCATGTAATGGTTCAGGTATTCTTCTTTATCGATTTTGAAAAATTTCATAATTCGATGAAAAATAGACGATATTTACAGTTCAGAATAGTAAAGAATATGCTCAAGAAGTTAAAATGCAAATATACATTTAGTTTGTTCAAAACTCACTCATCTAGTTGAAAAATTGGGCTATTTTAGTAGATACAGACACCTCTGTCGACTGAATATGCGAACCCAGCTGAGGAAATCAGAAATTCTTTTTTGTTGTAGAAACAACGCTTGAGAATAATTGAGAATGGTCTACCTCTCTCTCAGAATTTATGTGTTGTTTGAGTGTTTTTTTAACCTCACAACGCTTTCAAGAAAAACTTAGAATCAATCTAACAAGATGACAGTCATATAGAGAATCAAGACACGTTTTTATACATTCCGCTCAAGAATTTCATGCTGAAAAGTTCGAGAATTCTAGCTTGTGAGATCTCACAGTTTTTACTATATTATAGTTTGAAGAACATTACATCGATTAGTAGGAGTCATAGAGAGATGAAACAACAATCCACAGAGAATGAGATGATGTCCCACAGCTAGTTCAGCTAGAGATCGTATTTTAATTGACTAGATACGCTTTCTACTTATCAGATATTCATTTTCTTTAATATTCATGTGAAAGAGATAGTCATCTGCATAAACAGCTATTATTTATTTAAAAACAATTAAAAGCATACGAACGCTAATATCTTGTTTTGAAATGAACAATAGAAAGATGTTAAATATAGTCATATTGTTGGACCTTAACTACTTTCACATTCAAGTTTTTCTCTACTGAGATGTCTTTGTTAGAGGTAACTAAATAAATGCAGTACCGATAGACAAATTATTCGGATGAAATGACGTGGTGAAGTCGAAGGTACGTTACTATGACGTTCCTTGTTACGATTGATGGAGAGGAAAAATAGAACAGTTCATATGTCTTGTATGGAATGTTTAAAGAGTAATTTACCCTTTGTCGTGTCTCTATCTAGATAAGATACTACAGATCTAGGTGAAAGCAAACAATACAAACTGAGAAACATATTCTTCACTATTAGTATACAAAATTTTAATAATGTGACTCATCTTGATTGGTCTACTTCTGAGTGTTATCAACAAGACTCATAACATCTCAATATCATTTATTCGAGACGTTTTTCTTCAACCATTAGGTTTCGAACGATGAAATACAAATCTTCACTCGAATCGAACATGTGAAGAATGCGTATATGAATATTTAACTACTATTGAACAACAAAACTACAATGCATTGAATTGGTTTACGAACAATACTTGTGAATATTTTTCTACGTTTTCATCATCTTACAAATTGAAAACATTTACTGGAGTTCGTCTGTACTTTCTCAAAAATAGGTTTCCAAATACCAGTGCTTGTTGTGAACCCAATATTACTGAACTAATCATTCGCCTAGAAAATGTACCACCGAACATAATAAATCTAACATTTCGACCAGGAGTATTTGGCTATGATATTAATATTGCCGAATGAAGCAGCAGTTATTGGGTATAGTACTGGCATAGTCTATTGGTTTGATCCTTTTAGCTTATCATTCATACGAAATATATCTTTGTGGACTAGTATGAGCATTGCATTATATAATGGTTTACTTTTTACATCAAAGAATTTTGATCCGGAGATTTACGTACTTGATCGTCAAACAAATAATCAAATAACAAACATCAGTGATTTGAGTTTGGCTGAAACTCGTAAATATATGTTTATCAATAATGGTGAAATAATGATTGCAACTGGTCCAAGTTTCATGGCATTAACTATGTTTCGAGTTAATTCAGCGTCAAATTATACAGTTGAGGTCAGCATTTACAGTTCTTTTCTATTATTAGAAAATGACCTTTTTTCTTTATTGTTTTTCAGCAATTTCTTGCATATCCATTCCCTATAGTACACGGACTCGCTAAAGTCAATGATACATTGTTTTATGCGTCCATATGGACTAATCGACGAATTGTTGCTTATTGATATCAAAATGCAACATGGAGCTCGAAATCATTTGTAAACGCAACCGGTAGTGGTAGTACTGCACATATAACAGTGGATGAATGTGGACGAATTTGTTATATCATTGGTTCATTTGGTTTACGTATTTTCGATTCATTGAGTGTGGAGGTGGCACATTGGAATATGAGTTTAGGATCTGATACGATTTTTGACATTCTTCTACTTCCGAATTATGTTTTATTAGTCACGCAAGTTAATGCTCAGAAAATCATTCAATACGATCCTCAATTAATATGTTAATAAAACTATCGATATTAGAAAAGAACATATTAAACTAATACGTACTTGATCGAGTTACATGAATATTGAAGTTTCTCTTATGGAGTGTTTTTCGAAACCTAACATATATTAACTACATTAAGATAATTGCTGTATAGTAGATCGATATTCGATTCCAATCACAATCGACTCTACAGTGAAACATTGAAGTATAGCAGCCTTTATAGTAGCTAGTGTTGGGATCCAAATCTTAGAAGTCAATTATCTTCTCTCTTTGGATACGTTTCTAATCTTTATTTTACGCAGGATTGATAGGTATGGGTGTGGACAAAGCTCTTTTCTTTGCCCTCATCCTCACACTCATCCATCGGTCAATTTTTTGTGACTTAACTTGAGGTCACAGACACTGAATAGTAGATTAAAACAAGGTTTCTTTCAGAAATTACGCATTCTCTTTGGTGAATCTATACGAACCATGTTAAAATTGAGAAGAACAAAGTCATTATGTCATCTCGAATTTTTACTCGTCTTGTATGAACTCTGACATCAATCAATTTATGATGGTCCAATCCGAGTCGGACTGTAACCATCTATAACAGATCGAGATCAACTCTTTTCTCACTTTAATATCAGTGCGTCGGACACGTTTGAAAGAAAGCTAGCTGTATAACAGAAGATGAATATGATTTCGTCAAAAAAAAACATTCTGTCAATATTAGCAGACACTTTCATACATCCAATTAGTAGATTGCATGAACTTTGTGATCGAACTGCGTTCAACATTATTTTACTAGTTCCCATAAAAAGTCTTCTTCCTATGAATAGTTGGTACACTTTTTCATGCTCATGAATAGTCCACGGAATACGAGCACATACTAGCTAATCCTTGATATTGTACATTCAACAATTGATAGCTCCAACTAAAGCATTTCAAATACGAAATTTATATAATTCTTGTCATCTACTGGCAAAACAATATCATTTCTCGAAATATAATTTGCTGAGCAGATCGCTATAGCTGTTATTTGATCTGAATACGTACTGCTGAGAACTACTTTTTTTAATGAATATGTATACATACTACTAAGTACTACGGAGTGTAATCACTACTCATAAGAATAAGATTTTTGATAAAGAATAATGAGGTAAACTTGGGCCTGATCCGAGTGGAAATTCCAACCACTCGAATATCTAATTATTACAACACAATTTACCACAGAAACATTGTTGTATTCTATCATTTTTGGGATACATTTCTTCGCTATGCTTCCAATTAATGTTTCAGAAATGTAGTCCATAAACTATCATCTTCATAATTCAACACTCCTTTTAGATTGTGTTTCACAAAGAGTCATATCCATAAAACGTATCCCATTAGAATAAATTGAATTTAAAAGTTTTTGTAAAAATTTTATGTGAATTTCCTTGTTCACTAATCAGCATGTTTATAATATATCACTTAAAACCAAAAACATATATATGAGTTAGAATAAAAACAAATAATCAAAAGATAAAACAAAAAGAAAAAAAAATTGACACATTTAACTATAATAAATGGAATAAATAAACGTGAATATGATTATAACAAAGTAGAAGACAAAAACAAAATCGTTCTAGTTATTATTTTAAAGTTCTCCACCTGCTTCAACTTTCTTTGTTCCATCACGTTCATAACCTTTAAGTGGGTCTGTTGCTTCTTTAGCTAAATATTTAATAAAGTCATCAACTTCACGTCCACCCTAAATATAACAAATCCATTTCAATGTATTATTAATTAAAATAACAAGAAAATATCTTACTTCATATTTTCTTGGATTATTTTTATCATTTTTAGGTGCAAAATAAATTGTTGGAAAACCTCGAACATTATATGAACTTGGTACATCATTTTCAGTGGCATCCATTTTAGCACTAAAGAAAAAAAAAATTTTTTTTTGAAATATAAATCTGTTTTTTTTTTAAATTTTTTCTTACATGACAATATTTTTTTCGTTTTTCAATGTCTTAGCTAATTCATCATATTTAGGAGCGAGTGATTTACTATAGAATAAAAACGAAGAAGATTCTATAAAGAAATAAATAAACTATTCATCTTACCAATGACCACACCTATAGAAAAAAAGTCAAAAAAATAACAATTAGAAAATTATTATTAATAAGAATCAAATTTCTTTACCATGGAGCATAGAATTCAATTAAAACATCTTTACTATCATCATTAACAATTTCATCAAAATTTTTTCCAACAACAACTTTAACATCTTCAGTTTGTTCAGGAACTGGTTGTGATTTTAAATATGGTTCAAGACCACCTGCAGCTAATTTACGAGCAAATTCTTCAAGAGCTTCAAAACTAAAATAAAAAATAGATTTTAATTCAAATATAAATCAGCTTTCTTTTTTTTTTTTTAATTCAATAAAAAACAAACCTGAAATCTTCAGTCATCCTATATTTTTCATCTTTAGGTCCACGAGCAAGTACATATTTAGCATCTTTTTTAACATCAGCAATACCAAATTGAGATAATTCTTGACGAAATTCTTCACCATTACTGACAGCAAATCGTACATTAACATTTTCATCGGCTAATTTTTTAGCAACTTTTAACACACGATTACGTACATAATTTGTACCCTTGGTATCACGAACATAATCAACATTATAATAGACAACTACTAATGGTTTAGCATAATCAGCAGCATTGGATGAAGTTCGATGACCGACAAGACCATGTCTAAAAAGAAACAAGTATATAAAAGGAATTATAGTATTAAATATTAAAAGAAATTATCCTAGAAGTGAGCGTGATAACGATGATGCTCTTTGTTAACTAACAAGGGAACATAACTAGCTGTCGAATGCCGTTCGATTTTACACTATGATTGTCAGTAGGTCTTGATGCAACTGAGTAAAGTTAAAAGGAACTCAGATCCATTGTTTACTGAGGAAAATTGACGATCGCTTAAATGAAATTTTGCCGCTAGGCACAGATTCTATAGTTCTGCAGAAAATTACAAATCAATCAAGTATTTCTCTGCTGATTATGCAAACTCTGATTGTAAACATTTCATTCTTCCAATGAAATGACTATGAAAAAAAAAAAGCATGGAAATGTCATTCGATGCTTTGTGACATAAGTGCAGAAGTTTGATTTTCATTAAAAAAATTAATATAGAAAACATGTTCACAGTTTTGGATTGTGTTGGGTCAGGAAATTCATTTCCATTTTATATACTTTTTTAGTCAAACTAAATTTCTTGACCCACACTAATTCATGTCGTACATTTGTTTGTACTACCCTTAGTAAAGCGCATATTATACGGAACATAACTTTGGTCAGAAACCGAATTTTAAAATAACATTGGCCCTTCTCGTCCAAGAAATGAAATACAAATAAGCAAAAAATGTCGTTTGTGAAGTGAATAGGATTAGAACAGGTTATGGAGAAGAAACAGCCTGGTAGCCACGGTAGGTTTCACTCTTCTTTCCTCTCAGTTAATATTTAGTTATAGAAATCAAAAGATAGATATTTAAGAGATAAAATCAAAACTTTATAATCGATAAGTTTTCGGTAGGATTAGAAAAACAGCAATTTTCCATTAAATTTAATTTACTTCTATTTTTAAATAATTTATACCAAGTCGTTTGGTATATCACTAGAAAATATTTAACAAAATTAACTTACACTTTTTCTTGAATATATGATTTTATTTTATCACCAACACCTTCAACAACTGTAAAAGCATCTTCAAATTTGGATTGTAATCGTTTGGGTTGATGAACAACAATTTTACTTTAGAAGGAAAAAACAAAACGAAAATAGTTTCTCAATCTTAATTATTATTAAACTTACTTTAAATGTCCTGCTTTATCAAGAACTTCTTTTGCTGTTGTATAAGCAAAACGAAATTTTTCTGATAATTGATCAGCAACTTTAACAAGATCACCTTTTAATGAATGTGCATCACTTTCAAAATAACCTATGTAAATAATAAACAAAAAAAATCTTAATTTTCAATTTAGTTTTTCAATGAACATACCAATAATACTATGATCATCATGTCCTAAAAATTTTTCATAATCAGCTAATGTTTCAAGTACACGATATGATGGACCAGCTTTTGATCTCATTGTTGAAACAATACCATCTAAAATAAAATATTTTTATTAGAATTTATTGATTTAAAATTTTTGTTTTCGAATACTTACCAGCTTCTCGTGGACCATTGTAATCTTCTGCAACTTCACCATTTTTGAAAATTTTTAATGCTATAAATCAAAGAATAAAAAACAAAAGGTAACACTATATTTAAAAAAAAGAAATATACAAACATACTTGGATAACCATTAACACCATATTTAGAACAAGTTTTGGTTTCAACCGTACAATCAACCTATAATTAATGTTTTGCTTTTTCTTATGAATTTAATAAATATGTTTTTTTTTGGTTACTTTTACTAATGCAACAGGTGGATCGTTCTTTGTTAAAGCTGTTGCAGCTTTTTCATATTCTGGTGCAAGTCGTTTACCTGTTAAATAAAAAATTCAAATGATTATTCTATAGTTCAGATGAAAGAAAAAGTACATACAATGTCCACACCATGGTGCATAAAATTCTGCGAGTAATATATCGTGTTCTTTAACTTTAGTTTCAAAATCACTATCAGTAAAAACTAATACATCACTTGCCGTTGTCAAGGTTGTTAAGCTTATAAAAATTGTAATAAATATGATTGATTGCATGTTGTTTAACTATGAGCTATAACGATGAAAGGTAAGTAATGATATTAAGTAGTATTATATTATAATACAAGCGTATTTTATAACACCGAAAAACGATAGTAAGACTTGGACATATATGATTGGAGAAATTTAATTACCAATTAGATTTTAAAAGAAATTAAAAATAATTTATTTTTCGATTAAATTCTAGATTTATTTATTAATTAGACTTTTAGAGTTTGTTTAAGAAATTTTTTTATAGAAAATGAATAAATGATATTGATTGGTGGAAAAAATTGCTATGCAAACAATACTGATCCGTGATCTGGTGAATCTAAGACAAAATGCACTTTGACATACACACACACCTGTGATTGAATAAATTTTGTATAGAATGTGTGTTGAATTTTTCTATTTACAAATCTAAAATTCGTTTTGAGTGAAACGCAACTGTTTCAGAGAAAAGTGCAAAATTTGAGAAACCTGTAGTATTCTCTATTAAAGTAGCTTGCATTTTTCTCAGAAACAGTCGCGTTTCACTCAAAACGAGTTTCAGATTAGTAAATAGAAAAACTCAACGGATTTGCTATAAAAAATCTATCCAATCAAAGGGGTGTGTGTATCTCAAAGTGCATTTTGCCTTCAATTCAGCAGACCACTCATTGAAACTTATCTCTATGGAGCAACCATTAACATTTTACTGTTCTTGTTTGCTGGAGTGATCATTTGTACAATGATTTCAGAAAAGTAATTGAAATATGAAATCAAAAAGCTTTGAAAACGTTTCTTGCAGTAAAATCCATGAACTATTAATTGATTAAAAAAAATATTTTGTTTAATGATTCTTTCTCCAAAAAAATTCAGTTATATAATCGATTAGTTTGCACAAAAAAAAAGAAAAAAGTTGAATATGTTTTTCTACCAACAGACAGCTTACATGGTGGAGAACGTTTTGTATGGTATGTACCAACGACAATGCCTACTACTAATATAAGAGAAAACTAACATACCAGTTTTTTGACCTCTATAGCCTGAGAGTGAAAATTTTCTTACACTTCGTGAAATAACTGAGCGAATAATTCTCTTCTCACTGAGTAAGGAGGTCTCCGAATGATTAAATTGCTTTTGAATCGAGAATACGTCCACTAATAGAACTAAATGAGCTATGAATATTCTGAAAACAGTGCTGATTGCTGCTAAGACACCGCACTTTTATAGTAGTCTTTAAATAAATGCGATCGTCTCCCTCAGGAGCACTAATATTTCTGGTGAATATGCCAGATCTTTATGTGGTTCCTATTCTAAGATACACCTATGGTAGCAGCGTGTCTTTTACATCACTCATATGAACTAGCGGATTCAATGTTCTTATTTCAGTATAGGAGTAAGTAAAATAACCTAAAACTATTGTCGTTAAGGTATGTCTCTGTATCAAGTTTCAAATCAAAATTCTAAAATTAGTTTTCGTGGTGTTCCTGAGAGAAACCACAGTATTCGTTATAAAATACTGTAAAAATGTAGTATCTATGCAGCCATAAACTAAGAACACCAACTCTTTTCAGGATATTCATAGTTCATTTGGGTCTACATCACCTCAACTCAACAGCACTTCAATAGCTAGGGAACGTATCCATTATTTATTCTATGATATCTCTATTGTGAATTAAATAGGTAAATTCTTCATCAAATTTTGTTTCAGCAATAAAATGATACTGAACTCATCTTTTTGATGATAATCAGAACATAAATTTAAAAATTAAATAATAAAAATGTACCATTTCTTTAAAAAACTTCTATAAAAATTTATCAATCGGCACATAGGTTTAAATCATTATCCTACTTTTGCTTCATAAAAGCTAGAAAACTAATTTTTATTTTCATGAATTCTGTTCGTCTCATATATTCATTTCAAGAATTAAATAATATAGATATCTTCTCATATAAAATCATTATTATTATCTACGAAAGCAAAAAAAAAGTCATTATTCACATTTCTATTATATCATTCGATCAATCGAGATACTTCAAAACTCAAGATGAGTGTCTTGTCAAACTTCGAACAATTTGCTTTTTTTTTCCTTGTAATAAAAAAAAGGGTTATTCTTTTGCTCGTTTTTTTTTTCTTTCCAATGTAAATATGAAAGTTTATTTTATTCGTTTGTCATATGTCTGTTTGCATTTTTTAAAATAAAAATCATGCCAGAGTCAATGACATTGATCGAACATGCAAATATTTTAAACAAATTAAATCATAAAAAGTCATTTCATGATCGAATTTCTTTAACAAATGATAATTTAAAATCTCTTTCATTAAATGCTTATTCTTCTCGACATTTAATATCACCTGGAAAACAAACAAAACTTTTGCCTGCGGGTGAACATATTTTACCATCCATTGAAAATGGACATCGACGAAAGCCAAAACGACCATCTTATCGTACATCACTTTATCATCCAAATAAATCAAATTCTAATCAGCTTGATGTAACTACATTAACAGCTCGTGGTACAAAGTCAGAATTATTTACAACAGTAAAATATGATGATAGAATTCTAAATTTTGAACATCATAATGCTCCACCACCAAGCCCATCTGATTATCAAATTGAACGATTAGTATATGAATTCAATCGAATAAGACAATTTACACCAGTTTCAATAACAAATAGAGATGATTATATACCATATCGTTTACCAGCACTTAAAAAAACACAACGACGAATACATTCAGAATTAGATTATTCACCTATACATATTAAAACAAATTTAGCAAACAGCTCTGAAACTTTTTATTGAAAAGTATTAATTTGTTTCTTTTCTTCTTATGGTTCTTGTATCTATATAAAATATGAATTATTATTAGTAACTATTTAATAAAATAGTCTTGGTATTTATCAAAGATTACTTAGCAGTTGCTCGGGTGAATAAAATCAAACAAATTTAAAGAGAATCAGCCTCCCATAAGTGAACACGTCTCATGTCGCACTACTGTAGTCTTCATAGAAACTGAGAGTAGTGCATATGACTTTTGGTTTTATGCTATAAGCGATTTGAGAGAGTGTTTTATATCCGAAATCGAATTACGTATTAGAAAGAATTCAAATTAACCGAGAAGAAAACAGCTTCAGAGTATATTATACTAATAAAAATTTATCTCAAGACTACGAAAGTATTTACCCTTTTTCATACAACAATTTCAAAGAAAACCGTCGATGTGGTATGCATTATACCAAGCGTTCTACTGATGGTAGTTATAATATTGGCTTCCTACCCTAATCTTTAACATTGTTTTTACAATCCTACGATTGATATTTGAACGTCTTACAAATGAACACAACAGACCAGTTTTTCTTTAACCTTCTTTTCGCTGTATCTGGTGAATATATCAAAATGACTGTGCATTGTTTCTTATAAACTATATACATCAGAAAAACTAAAGACATTACAATATCATCTTACATTAAATGAAAAAAATTCAATTAATTAATAATCATACCAGTAGTAATGGTTGACGACAACGCAATTTCACTTCACATAATTTTATATATCCATTAGTTTAAAAAGAAAAGAAAAAATATTCAAATGATTATCAAAACAAAACGAAAATTCAAAAATTTTGACAGAACGATATTTGTTGAATATATATTTAGAAGAATTTTAAAACAATATTCATGAAATTCACATATATCAAGACTGAAATAAAGGAAAGTGTTGTATTCTATTGAAAAATTTTTAGATTTATAAATATTCAAATGAAAGACGATAGATAACATAGAGAATGATCTTCGATATTACTTCAAAACGAGTAAAGAAGTTTATATTCTGAGACTTTTCTCATTTCATAACAAAATATATGATATCTTTTATAAATGAATACTTTTCAAAAGTCCCGATGATATTCATTTAGGAGAAGTTTTCCTGAAGTAATAATCGTACATTAGTTATAAGAATAGACATGACCAGAATGATAGTTCATGTTATAATATTTTGTCTGATTATTATTAAAATAGAGTAAGCATTGAAAACAGAAGTCATTCAAATAATTTCTTTCTTCCGAAGTCAATTGAGTATACTAGTTTTAATGGATATGAATTGTAGTGCTTCCATAAAAAAAAACTTAAGAGCAAGAAAAAACAAATAGTAGAAGATATAGATTGTTGATTGCCGTCTGTGAAAAAAATATTTTAGTCTTTTAAGGACGGAATTTTTTTCTACGAAGCAAAATAATTGAACTTTGAATTAATTTTTATTTCTAATCAGCACAATTGATCTTGCAAAGACTAATAAGTTACATATGTATATAATTCATACCAACTCATAATGCTATATCAGTTAGAAACTGTTCCAGAACGAAAAATGTCTAGAAGCATCTTCTTTTCTGAATAGGTTAATAAGTAAACAGGTTTCATCATATTATCAAAAAACCTTTAAAACTCTTTCGCTTATAAACCGTAATAGAAGTCACAAAAGGCTATCGAATCTGCGTGTCATATTTTTCCTAAATTTTCACATAAAAAATATTAGTCTCTTGGGAGGGAATGTAGATATCAAAATGTACATTGAAAGTTGGAAGATAATTTTCTTATCATTTTGGTTGAACACAATCATTGTGACTCTACTATTTGTTTGTCTAAATGTTTATTTAGTGTTTTTTATATTCATATCTGTAAGTTACTATTCAGACTTTCTAGTCGATTCTTATAGGCATAATTTGATAGAAAAAAAGAAAGAGAATGAAAATAATAAAAGTAACTTCAATTTCTTTGTTTCTGCAAGGACAAACATAACACAAAAAAGTCTTTACTTCACAGTTCAACGTAACGAATAACATGATAGAGAAAAAAATGATTCATATTGAACTGTTCTGATGAAACTTTTTCGAGAGAAACTTTCCTCTATGCATCAATTGTCTAATACAGTATTGATTTGTCTGATATTATTTTCGAATATTTGTTTAAAGACTAAAACATAAGTAATAAGTAAACATGAGTCTAATAAACTGTTTATTTTATTTAAAATTGCCAAACACAAATCACTGACTTATTCAATTACTTCTTTTCAACACCATAAAAATCGATATCAATAAAATATTTTATATTGGATTAGAATGTCGTTGACTACGTATACTAATGATATTCAGGAATAGTTATATGAATCATTCTCTTTTTGGACGTACAGATAACGTTGGAAAAAAAATATTTGCCATCTGTTATGTTAATGTTTATTTATATACTATAGATCGAACCACAATTGAATGATCCTCTCTATGGACATGACGAGAAAGAACGAGAATAATATTATCGACTATTCTTTGTTCAAAGAATGGATAGAAAGCATAATGATTTTATTCTTACGTCGGCCGATAGGTACATATATGAATATAAATAGGCGAAGCAAGAAAGACATTCATTATTCAAGAAAGGCTATAGCCATTTATCGAAACTTTTAACATTACTATTTATCTACAGTTTAAAACATACGAAGTCTTGAAGAGGTAAATCCAAAATTAATATATTTTATAGAGAATTTTTTTTAATTTATTGATATAATTTTTATTTCATAGATAATAAACGTAATGAAAATTGGATTATATCTTACATTGTTGATGCTTTTAGCATCAACAAATATATTTAGTATAGAAGGAAGAATAATAGGTGGAGGAAAAGCTCGTTTAAGTCAAACAGAAAATGATCAAGACAGTCATGAAGGTATTAATTCGAATTTAGAAAAAATGACGACGGGTACACAACATGAAGATCATTCAGTACCAATTATTAATCAATTTGAAATTGGTCGTAAATTAAAATCAACTACTAATGTCGTAGATAATGAAGTAAAATCTGTAGCAATCATAGATCAAGAAACAAAACCTACTACATCAGTACCTAAAAAGGTTCAACAGACATCTGATGCAGATACAACATTAAAACCTGTAATTGTTACAGTGAAAGATGCAAAAAATAAAAAATCTCCTATGATTAATTCTACTCATAAAGTATATACATCAACACATTTTCTTGTAATTAAATTTTTTTATTGTTTTAATATTAGATTGCTCATTTATCAAACAATAGTGTTCATGTTAGTGGTAATATTATTTTTGTCAAACATCAGTCATCAGTTCTTGGTACTGTTCAATATTATCTTGATCGTGCAAATTTAACAAATGGTAATCAGTCATTAATACAATCTCGAGTACCATTTACTGAAAATTTTATTGTAAATCAAAGTCGTATTACACTTTATGTTTCAACATCAAAAACAATTGATCGTAAATTAGCATTTTCAAAATTTCAAATTAAAGTAAAACGACATCAATTTCCACTTACATTTCATATTCATGTTAAATTACCAAATCTAACACATGATGATATTACATTATATTTTTTTGTTTATATAACTAATGGTGAAAAACATATTTATACGTTTATTCCAGCTGGTAATAGTCAAATACATTTACAAGGTACAAATATACTTTCACAAAAACTTGATATTTATGTTAAAGCAAATGGTACTGAAATAACTGGTTCATTTCATGGTCGTTATGGTCAACGATATATTCGATCAGGAACATATTTTCAAGTTTTTATTATACCTGAACAAAGTATAACAGTTCGTCATAATCAAACATTTGATTCAATTGCACAATTAAAAATTCAAAATGTACCTTCTATGTATCCAGTACAATTTTCATTTTTAGTTCTTAATCATCTATTAAAATCAGATATAAACTATTATGCTATTGCTTATATCATTGAAAATGGTATTCGACGTTCAATCAATCAAGAACCTATATTAATTATTAATAAAAACAAGACTCTTATAACATCTCAACTTGTTTTTAATGTTATTCCATCATCATTAATATTACGTGGTACAGTTATACGTTCAATGCCTGGTTTATTTATCCTTCAACCACGTTCATCACTTATTTTACGTCTAAATGATATTGATTCTGATTCACATAATATTATTTTTAAATTATCTGATATATTAGCACTTCCACAAATTTTTCAAGTTAATGTAGGCCAATCAATGAGATTTGATCCATCAAAAAATTATGATATAAGTGCATTGATTATTGATGAAAAAAATACAACTTATATGGCAAGTTCAGAATCAATTGTACTTGATGATGATTTTTCAGGAATAATATTACCTGTTGATGATCTTCTTTATTATGTTCAAGTTCGTCTTCATTCATCAACAAATGAAAAATTATATTATATTCCAGGAAGTCGAGCTCGAATATTTGTTACAGAAAGTCCTGAAATGTTAACACCACCAATTGTTACTATGCATATTGATTCAATACCAGAATATTTTCGTGAATTTTCATTTCAAATACCAGTTACATCTGTTCAACATGATCGTAATTATTATTTAGTAATGATAATTGATATGAATGGTATCATTACACATGTATCAAAATCTTTATTAATTTCCAATAGACAACCACCACCACTTATTGTTGAATTACCTGTACCATCACTTAATATAATAAGTGGTATTATATTTGATGTTGAAAATCGGCCAGCACAATGGTCATCATCATCTTATGCTAGTCTTATTTTATTTGATGATACAGCTGAAAATTTAGATCATGCTATTGTTCAAAGATGGAATATTCGTTTAGAAAAAGATTTTCCTATTCGTTTCGAAATTGAACTTGATTTTAATCGTCTTCATTCAAATCATATTTATCGTTTACAAGGTTTTATTAAAAATCAACATAATATATTAGAATATGAACCAGCTGGTAGTGTACTTGCATTAAATCCACATGGTGGTATTAT